AAGAGCTAATAAATGCATTTTTCTTGGTTATTCTTCTGATAAAAAGGGTTATAAAGTTCTTAGTCTTGATTCAAATTTTGTTTTTGTTTCCAGGGATGTAAAATTTTATGAATCAGTGTTTCCTTTCAAGCTTAAGTCTTCATATTTGACTGATAAATCCAACGTTCCTTTGAATTCAAGTGACCTGTTTTCCTATGATGAGTCATTGGATTCTAGTATTTTTCTTGATAAAACTAGGTTAGAAAACTTAAGAAGTGGCCATCAGTTGGATACTGGTAGTGTAGACCATGAACTAGATGAGATTTGTTCCTCTAACGTCAGCAACCAAACTGTTGATGTACATGTGCCTCCTTCTGGTGAGATGCTTCCAAGTTCTTCTACTTTGACTGGGGAAAATGATTTAACTAATTCTAATCCTTCAGAAAATTTGTCAACTAGGGTTACTAGATCTGGACGTAATGTTCACATGCCAGTTAGATTTAGTGATTATGTTGTAGAGGGAAAACGCAAATATGGAATTGAACGTTCTATTAACTATTCAACTCTTAATATTAATAATCTTTGTTTTATTTCAAGTCCTGATAAAAATGTTGAGCCAAAAAGTTATAGTGAAGCAGCTTTAGATCCAAATTGGTTTAAAGTTATGAACGAAGAAATGGAAGCTCTTTATAGAAATAATACCTGGGAAATTACTAATCTTCCTAAAGGAAGAAAAGCCATAGGTTATCGTTGGATTTATAAAATAAAATATAAATCCAATTGTGATATAGAAAGGTATAAAGCCAGACTTGTGGCTAAAGGTTATAACCAAAGTGAAGGTATTGATTATGAGGAGATCTTTTCTCATGTGGATAAAATAGTAACTATTCGCATTGATATTTATTTAGCTGTTTATAATTCATGGCCTCTTTATCAAATTGACATCAACAATGCTTTTTTGTATGGAAATCTTTCTAAAAGTGTTTATATAAGTACAAGAAGGATATCATTCAAAGGATGATATCAGGGTTTGTAGATTGTTAAAATATCTTTATGGACTTAAACAAGCCCCTAGAAAGTGGAATGAGAAATTGTGTTCCTCTCTTTCCATTTTTGGGTTCAAACAGAGTATAAATGATTATTCTTTGTTTGTTAGGAATTTTCAAAATACAGTTGTTGTGCTTCTTGTTTATGTAGATGATATCATTATAACTGAAATAATAGAGTTGAGTTATATAATGTCAAAAAATTTCTTAAGTCCCATTTCTTAATCAAGGATCTGGAGAATTTGAAATACTTTTTAGGCATAGAAGTTTTAAGAACTGATAATGGTGTTTGTCTTAATCAAAGAAAATAGTGAACATAGTTACTTCATGAGTTTGACATGATTGCATGTAAGCCTGGCAAAAATCCTCTTGAGTCTAATTGATCATTAAACGGGAGTTTGATTTGGATAATTTAGATTATTTGGTTAATATAACTGAGTATCAGAAGCTTATTAGTAAATTGATTTATCTAACAATCACACGACTTGATATTTCATTCGTGGTTCAGTTATTAAATCAGTATATGCATAAACCATATAAATCTCATATTAATATTGCTTTTAGGTTGTTGAGGTATTTGAAAAACAGTCTAGGTATGGGTGTTCATTTAACCAAATCTAGTTCTTTTGATTTGAGTGGGTTTGTTGATGCTGACTGGGCTACATGTTTGATTAGTCGTAGGTTTGTTACTGGTTATCTTGTCTACTTAGGTGGGTCTCTTGTTTCTTGGAAGAGCAAGAAACAAAGTACTGTTTCTTGCTCCTCCACAGAGTTAGAATACAGAGCTTTGGGTAGTATTACATGTGAAATTATTTGGATTTTAAAATTACTTCTTGATTTATGTATAAAGTCTTATTTACCACTTGAAATTTTTTGTAATAATGAGTCAACAATCAAATTGGCTTTGAATCCTGTATTTCATGAAAAAACAAAACATTTGGAAGTTGATCTTCATTTTGTTAGGAAAAAGATTGAAAATGGAATTTTAAAAGTGAATAAAATTGAGTCTTCTAATCAAAATGCAGATATTCTAAGCAAAGCTCTTAGAAGTAATCAACATGATTATATTGTAAATCGTCTTAATATGGTTGATGTTTTTAAAAGAAATTAACTGCTTATATGCTATATCAAATTAATGTTTAGTTTGAGGGGGCCTGTTAAAAGGTTAATATTTTTCATAAACAAACTTAAACATTAATTTATAAATTATTGGGTAAGTTATGTATAAGTGTGTGTGTGTGTGTGTGTATATATATATATATATATATATATATATATATATGGGGGGGGGTTGTGTATCTTTTATGCAGGAAGTCGAGTTTGTACATAGACTTCGGGTCATATCCATGGACCTTTCTACAGTAATTCATATTACATTTTTCATTTATAAACTATCTCATACCTTTCATCTGTAGATTAGGTTTTTCTATCTAGGGTTTGTTTATAAATCGTGTTTGATGTACAAATTTCTAGTTGATTTGTAATATAAGTGTAAGTGTGATATGTAGTGAGGTTTCAGTTGTAATATGTTGATGTAAACCATCTGTTTCATAGTGAATGAAATAATGCTGTTGGGAAGTTCTTGAGTTGTTTACGTTTATTAGAGTTTCTCTAAAATGCAACCTAAGTGAACATATTTACATTAGTTATTTACTGTGAATGTATTCTTTAATCAGTTTATGTAAAAGATAATAATCTAAATCTTATCAAATTGTTGCAGGACCAAACATTACAGTCCCCTACCACTGGTCAATTCATTTTGCAACCAAACACTTATTTTCAATTGATCAAGGTAAACACTCAAATACTTTCTTGAGCTAAAAGTTTGTGCTAAATGTTATAATATAATTTTCTTTTACTGCAATGAGCTGTAATATTAAATTGAACTGGATTGCAAGTTTTTAATGTAGATCAATCATCCATTCCGAGGGAACATGCCTTTCTAACATTAGTAAACTTGAAATGAGCATTACACTACAACACTTATTATTTTTATAGTTGTATTGGATTAAAGTACAACCATAATGGTATAGTGGGTTTATATTTGGATTATTATAAAAATGGATTTTTTTTTGTAATTTCTTTTAAAAGTGGCTGATATTAAAAAATGGGTAGTTGCAATCGACTTTCTTACCCATAATAGCAATTCACTTTACTTGGATTCTCCCCTTGATTTCCGCTATCATTTCTTATTGATAATGCATGATACTTCTAACAAAAATATTGCAGCTAATGTACCTTGATTTTTATCCATTATAGCAATGCATTTCAACTTTATTACCCATAATAGCAAGTTACTTTCAGTGTGATTCTTTCCTGATCTCCACCCTAACTAAAATCTTACACCACTCATGGGCTGTGCTTAGCATGCATTTTTCACTTCATTAGTGTATATATATATATACACACACACACACACATACACAAAAGATATATGTATTTATTTGTAAAAATATTTTATTTATATATAAATATTTATACATATTATATTAATGTGTAATACTATATATATTTATGTTATATAAGATTTGTGTTGATTTGTTGCTTTAGATATCACAAGATTTTTGCTTTAGATGCTCATAGAACTTTTCAGTTAGAGATCGGGTTTGATTGGTCAGAGTCTGGAGTCTTTACGGTGCCCCCCCCCCCCCTCCTGAGACGGGATATTGAGCAATCCCAGTGGGATGATCTTCTGAGTCTGCAACTACAGGAGGTTCATTTGGACTTTTCTTCGTATCAATTGGGTTGGTTGCTCAACATTTATGATTCTTTTTCAGTGTCAACAACTTATCAGTTTTTGGATAGTGGTATGCTTGTCATAGAGGGTATGGGAAATTATTGGAATAACTAGTTCCAATTAAGTTGAATGTTTTTATGGAGGATGAGACTTCATAGCATACCTACTAAAGAGAGAATTCCCTATAGGGATGCCCTCGTGGATTTGATCTTCTATAATGTTTGTTCCTGAGCAGTTGAGACGATCGATCATATTTTCACAGGTTGTGTGGAGCTCATAGATATATGGGGCCAGGTTGCGGTTTGTTAGGGATTCAGATTATTAACCTAATTTCCATTCATTCTTTACTTATATGGTCGGATTCTATTAGATTGACAAGTGGTCAAAGAAAGGCGTTGCGGGCTGTGGTGTTGATTTTTTTTAGTGTACTTGGAATTTTAGAAATTCAATTCTATTATTTTTAGGGCGGTGGTACCTAGGAAATCGTATATTTTCAATGACATGGTTGATAGATTATATTTTTAGATTTTCAATAAGGCTAGGGAAGCTAGTCTCAATTTAAGTTAGTTGGGTGAATAACCTAATTTTAACTTCTATTTCATTGTTATGTGTTTTTTTAGACTTTTATTAGTTTTTAATAAAGTTCCATTGTTAAAAAAAAGATTTGTTTTAATGTGATACAAAATAAAAAAGATTAATGATTAAATATATATAATTAATTAATAAGTTCAGATGTTAGATGTATACAACAAAACCTAAAATAATAAATAGACGTTTAACAGTGTAAAAAAAACTTGTGAAGTGGTATTATTATGTTAGATATTATATTTTCGTATAGTTTTTACGAGTATCTACATTCCATCAAAATATTAAAAAACAATTTATAGGTTCGAATAAGAAGTATGATAATGTAAAAACCTCCCTTAATTTACTGTACAAATCTGAATGCTATGTTTTATCATACGATAAAAGAAAACAAGAAAATCGAAGGATCAAATCGACCCTTCAATATGCCCTCCAATTGTTAACTGACCCCTTCCATACCAAATAGCCATAATCGCTTGGCCGCGAACTCCATTTCCGCCCCCACTTTTATTTATATCCACACCCAACTCCCCAAACTCAAACCATGAACCTTTTACTCTCTACACAACGTAACAAAAGTACGAAACTTCTCATTCCTTCCCACCACTGATCTCACTGCCGCCGTATACTCCGCCACCAGAGAAGTCTGGAGGATGAGTTTGAGAGTGGCGGAGGACGATTCACGGATCCAAATACATCTTCCTGCTGACAATATCCATTGGGAGATGCTGGATAAATCCAAGTTTTTCTTCCTTGGTGCCGGCTTGTTTTCCGGTGTTTCAGCCATGCTATATCCAGTAGTTGTCTTGAAAACACGGCAACAAGTTCTTTTGAAGGACACACCTTGCTTCAAGATGGCTTCTTCGATTCTACGACATGAGGGTTTTAGAGGTTTATACAGAGGGTTTGGGACTTCATTAATGGGTACTATTCCGGCTAGAGCTCTTTACATGGGTGCTTTAGAAATGACCAAGAGTAATCTTAGTTGTACCGCTGTCAAACTGGGACTTTCGGAAGTGAAAGCAGCTGCTATTGCGAACACTGCAGCTGGGTTAAGTGCAGCCATGGTTGCACAGTTGGTTTGGACCCCAGTTGATGTCGTGAGTCAGAGATTAATGATTCAAGGTGGAAAGGGAGCAAACATGAGGTCTTTATCTTTAAGTTCAGTTATGTACAATGGAGGCTTCGATGCCTTTTCAAAAATTATTCAAAAAGATGGTGTTAGGGGATTGTACAAGGGATTCGGTATTTCAGTCTTGACATATGCTCCTTCAAACGCAGTGTGGTGGGGTTCTTACTCCATGACACATCGATGGATTTGGGGTGGCGTTCTTTCTCATACTGGCGTTGGAGGTGGGTTGAAGTCGGATTCAGCTGCCGTGGTGGCGGTGCAGGGGCTGAGCGCCACTATAGCAAGTGGGTTTTCGGCACTGGTAACAATGCCACTGGATACGATCAAGACAAGAGTGCAGGTTTTAGATGGTGAAGGTGGTAACAGGAGGGCGTTTGTGACGCAGAGTGTGAGGGATTTGGTGAAGGAAGGTGGATTGAGTGGTTGTTACCGAGGGTTGGGGCCAAGATGGGTTTCGATGTCGATTTCTGCGACTACAATGATCACAACCTATGAGTCCCTCAAGAGGATGTGTACTAATTAAGAACCAAGATTTATATTGCTTCCTTCAATGAGCTTAGTAGTTTGCAATAGAAAATGTATATATATATTTTTCTTTAGATTAGATGTAAGGCCTTTAATTGACTTTAGATACTATCCTACGAGTATGGACATAAATAATCTCAGTTGAATTCGAATTAAGTATTAGTAATGTTATTTAATCTCATGAAGTACGATAATTGTCATATAGTGGTGTATGCATGTATGGATGCACAAAAATATTATTATCTTAAAATAGTTGACGGCAATCATTTGTTTTAAGTTAGTGGTGCTTTTATAAAGGAGATAAATAAATTAAAATCTAGATATTTTTAAGTTTGTAGTAAAACAAATGGAATTTCTAACACAATTGAATATTATATGATTTTGTTGTAGTTTTGGTTCTAAATATCGTTAATTTTTTGAAAATGACATTTTTATCTTTAGGAACTATTTTTGTAGTTGTATCTTTTTACTAAACTACAATAACAATTTCTACAATTTTTCTTTTAATTTTCTTGATCTAATACATACTAATTGTTTTATTAATTCTTTTTAATTTCTTTTTTATTGGATTATTTTTTTATTAGGTTATTATATATTAATAAGTATTATTATTAATATTATATATATATATATATATATATTAGTAAATACAAATATTAATTTATTAGATTATTAATTTCTTTTATTATTATTCTTTTTTTAATTTCTTTTTTTATCTGATTAATTTTTTTATTTGATTATTATATATTAATAGATATTATTTTTAAATATAATAATTATATATTAATAAATATTATTTAATTGGAGTATTAGTTTATTTTAATTTTTTTAAAATTTTTTATTGGGTTAATTATTTTTATTGAATTATCACTTTTAATTAATTATTTTTATATATATGGATCGATCATTTTTAATGTATAATATTGATTCTATTTAATTTTATTGGTTCTACCACAATATTTTTTAAATACGCAAAAGCGGTGTATGCCATCATTGAAAATCGGCATGAGCACTGCCAATCACCTTTATCGGAGGTCCAACGGAAACACTATCAACCTCTTCTACCTTACGCTGTCTGAAGACACCGACATAAACCTCTTCACAATCCGTCGGTTCAAACATTATAAATACACATAGAAACAAATTGTAGATCAATCCAAATACATTAAATTAAACACATAACTATTAGTAATCCACATACATCAAAAGAAAATAAAGTATAATATCGAAACAAAATATAGTTTTAGATGAATACAAATGCATCATAAAATTCCATAACATTACTATAAGTTTTTATCATAAGTTTTTTTAGATAAATGTAAATGGTTGTGAAAAAGACGACCAAATTTTATTATACAAAATGGTTTTTTTCATGTGTTTTTATTCAATTTCACCTGTTCAACTGTGTTCTTGTAAAAAACAGACGGTTCGTTCTGATTCAGAAATATACATAAAACCAATAATAATTGAACCGCTTATTTTCTCAGTTCATGATCCAATAAAATAACATTGATTATATAAAGAAAATAATAAATTAAATGTAATAATTGAATAAAAAATTTAATCTAATAAAAAAATTAAAAGATTAATCCAAGAAAACTAATTAATTATAAGAAATTAATAATATAATAATGTAATATTATTAATATTTAAATATTATATATTAAAAATAGTATTAGTTAATATATTATAATCAAATAAAAAAGTTTAATCCAATATAAATAAAATTAAGAAAAGAACTAATGTATAATAATTCAATATAATTAAAAATATGAAGATTTAATGTATAATAATTCAATATAAAAAAAGAATTACATAAATAATCATTGTAGTTTGGCTAAAAGAGAGAGCTAAAAAAATGATTCTTAAAGGTAAAATTGTCATTTAAAAAAAAGTTAACAATCAAGTATTAAAGTTAATGAAATAGATATCAAAACCACAACTAAACCACAAAATAATGATCTTTTTTGCTAATAAACTTTTTTTGGACCTTATTCAAAGAAATCGGCAAATCACATGATCCATTTCTACAGTTTTATCAATTAAAAATGATATTTATTAAAAAAATAACAAAACAAAAAGCTTTGCCATGGTATTTTCAGAAAATGACGATGAAAGACAACAACAACAAAAAACAAACTGAAAAATATCACTGGAAATTTGGAATGATGATGAATACACCAATCAACACTTTGAATCTCACTTGACATTTATTGGATTTTGATAGATTAAATTGATAGGATATTGATCTTTTGATTGTATTTATCGTGTTCTTTCTTTGTTAGCTTTTATACATGAGGCTATTTAAGCTATTGATTAGTGTTAATAATTTTTTTTCTCTCTCTCTCTCTCTCTCTCTATATATATATATATATATATATATATATATATATATATATATATATATATATATATGCTATCGTTTTGTATAAGGTATCAAAGTGGTTCTTAAAAGGACTTTTTATTGGGAATATTCCAAAAGATAAGCACGATTCTGCACAATGATATAAATTATGTATATTTTTAGATAGAGTATCTTTTGCTTATTTATCTCTCTGTATTTATTCCTTGTAAATCTTGTATTCTTTTAATTTTGGTGTGTAAATTCAAGTCTCCTACTCCCAATTGGGGTACAAATCATTATTCTTACATGGTATTAGGAGACCATTAGGTTACCTTTAACCTTTCCTCGATCCTTATGGCCCCTGCCCCCGTTTCCTCTGGCACAACCTCTACAACCTTTACCATCTCCACAAATGGAACTGATGATTTTCTCTCCTTTAACAGTATGGTTCATCTGGTAAGTAATCATAAACTAGATGCCACCAACTACTTGATCTGGTTCAATTAAGTTGAACCTATTTTAATTTGTTTCGAATTATTCCAATTTTGTGACGGCTCGTTTATTGCTCCCTCAAACACCCTACCTTCCGGTTCAGACAATTCTGCCTCAATTGAGAATCCGACATACAAAGAATGGGTTCGAGCAGATCAGAGGGTCCGTACCTTGCCGCATGCCCCTTACACCCGAAACTGCATCTATTGTTGTTGGCTGTCATACTTCTCACCAAAGATGGACCACTATTCAAGCAACCTTCAGTCATGCATCTAAAACGCGTGAAATACAACTTAAAGATGAACTTCAATCTCTTCGCCAAGGAGATCAAGCGATTGCTGATTACTCTAAGAAGTTTAAAAACTTATGTGACCAGTTAGCTGCCATGGGTCGTGCAATTGATGCCACTGATAAACTGCACTGGTTCTTGCGTGGTTTAGGTGAGTCCTTTACCCAGTTTGCTTTTACACACTTATCTCTCACTCCTTTGCCCAGTTTTGAGGAAATGGTTTCAAAAGCGATCAGTTTTGAAATCTTTCACTCGTCAATGGCAACCCACTCTCCCACATAGGTGGCATTTTATAGAAACACCACACCCGTTGCTTCTACTCGTTCAAATCAATAGCAACACAACACTAGTCATGCTGGTGGTCGTGGTCACCCCTCTAATTCCAACCGTGGGGGGTATTCTCGAAATGGCCGTGGTGGAAAACAAACTTATATTCCTCGTTTTTAAATATTTAGCATAGAAGGCCACAAAGCTGTATCTTTCCCTCAAAGATATGCTTCTGAAAATCATCAAAATACTGCAAACCTTGCTGAGAGTTGCAAATTCATGCTCCATGAACAATGTTTCTAATTGGTATGTTGATACGGGTGTCACCGCTCATATGAGGCCTCAACCTTCAAATCTTGACACTTCATCTACATACATAGGTGATTCTAAAGTAATTGGTGGTAATGACACATCTCTTCATGTCTCGCGTGTTGGATCTTGTCAAATTACACCTAATATAAAATTACTTGATGGTTTAGTTGTTCCACATTTAACAAGAAATCTCATGTCTATCAGTCACCTTACTCGTGACTACAAAGTTGATGTTCTTTTTTCTGATAAATACTTTCTTATTCAGAACCGAAAGACAGGAACACATTTGGCTTAAGGGCAACTTGAAGGTAACTTATATGTGCTTCATCGAGCTCACTCGACACTTTCAGCAACACTTAGACGAAAAAGACTCCATGGCTCGTTTTCTCTTAGGCATGTTCGGTTCGGTCACGTTGGGAACTCTGTTATTTCTATTTTAAATAAGAAAGTACTTTTATTTTTATCGCCAGACTCGCGTATCTGTGCACCTTGTCAATTTGGAAAAGCCACCATACTCATTTTTATTTAAATGAAAAACGATCTACACATGTTCTCGGTTTAATTCATTCTGATCTATCGAGACCTGCCCTTGTTACTTCATACAATGGTTATCGTTTTTATGCATTATTTGTTCGTGATTTTCCCGTTTATGTTGGTTGTTGTAACGACCCATTTATGGTATGTAATTTAAATAAAGTATCTTTCAATTTTTAAGGGGGGGGGGGTATTCGACGAGTCTGTAGCCCGATTCGTCGAGTTGAGTTGGGATTATTGTGCCTTTGGGGATGGCTACTCGACGAGTCCATACGCTGGGACTAGGCGAGTTTGCCTGTCTGAACAAAACCCAAATTTCAAGGGTTTACACCCTATTTAAATGTCCTTATAGCCTCCCACCCTAGCCTCCAGCACCTTTAAAGCATTTCACCTGTAAACCCTAGCCCCATTGTTGAGTTTAAGTGTGATTGTGTTAGCTTGGAAGCTTTGGAAGAGAAGGAAGGAGAGAAGGTCCATAGAAGAGAAAGGAGATCTAGGAGTTAGCTTCCATCTATTTCTCTGTCACACCCCCAAACCAGAACGACAGAAACGTTCGGGGGCGGAGGACGTCATATTCAGTATCATAACAGTTCATAGTAAGGAAAGTACACACCACCATACATATAAAGGTTTCAAAATGTTTACATAATTGTATTTGTTACATGTTCAAAAGATAAATACATAAACATTTTTCAAAAGAAGTAATCAACGTCAAATTGTTAATCCCCAAAAGTTGGTTTCAAAACCTGCTTAGCGGTTC